CAGCCACAGGGGGTCTACTGTGCAGTTTGAGTCTGTTCCCACACACTGCCACCATAGCTGCCACGCTCAATGGGATTAAAGAGAAGGAAGATGATTTTTTTTATAATCTTTAATACACAGCAAGGCAGGGAGAGGTAGTAGTGGTGGAGGTGCACTACTGTGATAAGCCTCACTTAGTTTTCAGTGTGAGACTGTAACAAACTGTGCTGTTCATACCATAGTTTTTACTTTAATTTGTGTAGTGGTCAAGGCAGATATGTCTTGACAACTTTACAGTATGAGCTGATCTCTTATCCATACAGCACACTGGTAAAAGGTTATTTCTGAACTGAACTGAAACAAACCGCAGTGACAGGAACAAGAATCTATAATTGTTTGTAACATCTTTTTTTTCTTGGTGATAGGCAGTTGTGTTCAACTGAAAGTTGTTACAGGGTCTCTGGCTATTAGTACATAAAGTTACAGTAATGTAAAAACAAAAAAGCACTTATAATCTCGTACCTTACTCCCAACTTGCTTCCATTAAAATGCGGGGGGCGTTATCAAAACGCAACCCTGTAGATAATGCTGCACTCATGCATGTTTTCTACAATTATTTCTCAAATTGAGGAGAGACTTTAGAAAGATAAAATGAATCACAAAACTGTAACATCTATAAAGACATTTTGAAGGATATCATTGAAGCTACTGTCTGAAATTGCAACATCCAACTGTTGTGTACAAAGCCTGGAGAAAATCCAAATGTTACACGTTTTTCTCTAAAGGTATTTTTAGACTTATTTTTGAAATAATTGTTTTGATGTATCAAAAGTGCAAAAGGAACCGAGTTAAAACCTTTTTTTATTTACTTTTAGAAAATTAGAATGCTCAAATGTGTGATAACATCATACTCTTAAGAAACATTCTGTGGTAAAATCTCTACAAATGATCTATCCATCCATTATCTTTACCCGCTTCTTCCTTTTTGGGTCATGGGGGGTCACTGGTGTCCTTATCCAGCAGTCACTGTGTGAGAAGTGGGGGACACCCTGGACAGACTTCCAGTCCATCACAGGGACACATGGAGACAAATGAGACAAACAACCATTCACTCTCTGTCTCACACCTAGGGACAATTTAGAGTTACCAATCAGCCTAACATGCATGTTTTTGGTCTGTGGGAGGAAACCAGAGTTCCCAGAGAAAACCCACATGGCACAGAGAAAACATGCAAACTCCACCCAGAATTGATCCAGCCATTTTCTCACTGAGAGGCAACGGCTCTCCCAACTGAGCCACGGTTCCACTCAACAAATCATAACACCAGAAAAGATGTAATATTAAAAGTTCAAAGTTGTACAGTACAATGTTAAAGCATTAGCAAGCCTAATTCAAAAGTACAACACACTATCATTTTCTAAAGTTTCGGGTGACGTTGGTAAACCATCCATCCATCCATCCATTATCTTTACCCGTTTATTCCATTTTGGGTCACGGGGGTCACTGGTGCCCATGTCCAGCAATCACTGTGCGAGGGGCGGGGTACACCCTGGACGGGTCGCAAGTCCATCACAGGGCCACATAGAGACAAACGAGACTAACAACCATTCACTCTCTCACTCACACCTAGGGACAATTTAGAGTTACCAATCAGCCTAACATGCATGTTTTTGGACTGTGGGAGGAAACCGGAGTACCCGGAGAAAACCCACGCATGCACGGAGAGAACATGCAAACTCCACCCAGAAAGGCCCCTGGACCGGGGTTTGAACCAGGGACCTGCTCGCTGAGAGGCAGCAGCTCTACCAGTTGTGCCACCGTGCTGCCTACGTTGGTAAACCAAGCAGTAATAAATAAATGTACCTTAAGTTCTGTTCACAAAACTATGGCAAACGTTTGTTGAAACAAGCTAAAGTCTAATTGGTTGTCCACAGGTATTTGAATAGTACAATTCTTCTTGACATTTAGCAATATTGCCAATATTAGCTCATGTTGGGGTCTTCTTGCCAGTGTTTAAGCTACTTTGGTAGCTATAAATATGAACTTTTTATATTTAATAGTAGGTTCAAAATTGTTGCTTTTCATCCTATAAATACTGTTTTGTTGTTGGCTTTGCTTAGAGTTCTTGTTCTTTTTGACTTTTGGTATTGTTTCCACGATCAGCTTTAATGTCCTCAAGTTAATTTGGTGCGTCGAGTTTAGATTTGGTCTGTATTCCTATTGTATTAGTTATAGTGATGTTGGCTAGCTCATGAGAACGCTCCTCCAAGAACCCTGCAGATGTTGGATGCTGTCTATCATGGTGCACTAAGATTCATAACTGGCTGTGATTATCGCACCCACCACTGCACCCTGTGTTCACTGGTTAACTGGACATCATTAACTTCACGCAGACTCTCTCACTGGTACATTTTCATCTTTAAATCACTTCTTGGTCTGCTGCCTTCATACATCTCCTCCTACATGTCTCTGCGTGAGTGCAGCTACAGCGTGCGCTCTCAGGACATTATTACCTGCAGTGTTCCCTCAGTGAGGACTGAACTAGGCAAGAGGACCTTCTCCTACTCCACTCCTGTTTCCTGGAATACCTTACAAAAACATTTGAAGCTCTCGACCTTGACCTCTCTAAGTGGCTTTAAGAATCTGTTGGACTCCTGGCAGGGTCCAATGCAGACATGTTCCTGTTTTTAGTTTTCTACATTCGCCTGAGAATCTAGCTGTTTTGTTACTTTTTTGCCACTTTATTTGTAAAAAAAAATCTGTATGCCTTTTTGTGGCTGTCTATTGTTGTCGCTGTTGTCCATTGTTGTCATCATTCTTTGTTGAGATCAGGTCTCTCTTGTAAATGAGTCCTCAAGGCTCAATGGGATTTACTTGTCAGAGGAGGGGGCGTGCCAAAGACACCATCTTAGCACCAACATAACTGGTTTGTTCCACTTTGGAGTAAGCTGTTGGGGGAAGAATCAGTTTTGAGTTGCGTGTTTCCTTGATTGATGAAGCCTTCTGGATGGAAGGTGAAACGTTTCAACAAAAAAAGAAACTGTCCAGATGATCTGACTGAAAATTGTTGGAATGACTAGTGTGGTATTGCTTCTTACTTGTTGTTTATCATATGTTCTGCTTTCGGTGGGCTCTCGAGCGTGCCTTTAGCAGCAAGGTTGGCGTTAAATGCTGCTCTTGATGGCATCCCACTGTGTTTAACTGTTATCAAGCAGTGCCAGCACAGCACAAAGCTGGCCCACACTCAGTCTTTGGCTCTGCTGCAAGCAGAGCTCCACAGCCGAGCCATGTATCTGCACCTACAGGATAAACAGAAATTTACAATACATATTACAACTCTTTTTTTTTTTTTTTTACGTGCTTAGTGTTCAGTACAGCTATGCATGCCTCATTTTACCTTTACAAGGACTTCTCTTTCTTTCATTGGTTTTGAATTGTGTTGCCATTTTACGTAGAATATTTTACATTGTGAATAGGATATGGCAGGTTGACAGAAGGCTGCGACCTGGTCTGGATGGCTCTTTAAGATTTATTTGGTTACGTTTATGGGATTTATTTCACCCGTCCTGCACAAGAGAACAATTGAATTAGCTCAGTATTGGAAAGCCACGTTAGCTTCCACACATGCATGGCTGCCATTCGTATTCATTTAGAAATGCCATCTAAATGTCAGAATCACTCACCAGTAATTCTTTAAGGAACAAAAGTCATTCAATCATGCCTTCAAATGGCATAAACATCTGTGGTCTTTCATAACTGATTTTGTCAAGTCTGCAATATTAGGTTTGTTTGGTGTATTATTTTCCATTTAGTGGAGAGCTTTATCCAAATACCACTGTTGTATTTATTGAATATTTTGTCAAAGAGGCTTTGATGGTAAATATATATTCCTACCAGCTTGGCTTATAGTATTACAGTAGATATACCTTTGCAGTTATGACAAACCTTGAAATGTCACTCATATAATGTTATAGTGTGACAGGGCCTTGATAATAATGGTAATATCACTTTGCTTCTGTTTGTGTTAAATACCAACAGATTTCAACATCTCAGTTCAATTTTATTTCATTAATGTAAAAATAAAATTCCAGTAAAAGCTATAACGTTTCCATTTGTTTTTGTTTTTTTTAGGGGTGCACCAATAAATCGGCCCCGGTTTCCTTAATTTTGGGAGATCGGCCGATACTTGCATAAGAAACCGATTTTACAGATTTTTTTGTAGTTTTAACAATTGTCTAAACTTCATTGGCCAGTTAAAACAAGTTTGTATTGTTTCTAGGATATTGTTCAAGGGTATGTTTTCAATAAAATAGTATTGGAAAATTGAAGGTGCATTGTGACCTTATAACAGCTAACAGTGTCGCTAATAAAATAAAATCAGTATCGGCCAAAATCGGAATCGTCAGGTCAGATTTTGTAGAAATCAGTGATCGACCAGAAAACTGCAATTGATGCACCCCTAGTATTTTATTTTTTCACGTCATTACAGTCTGGTTTTCAAACTGTAATGAATGTGGTGTTAAAGTAGGCACGTACTAAACACTTTTAGTTTTTTTTTAATTGAAGGATTAGTGAACAACAATTACTGATGCTGTATGTACAGTCACCGTGAAGAACAAATCACTTTCTGTTGCCATTTGTCAACCGTCAAACAACAAGTTTAATTTAGATTTAAACGTTAAATTATTAGCCAAAGTTAATAGAATCAACTTTTGGGTCATTTCCAAAACATTTGTCCTTCTTTTGTCTCGTAAAAGTGACATTGGTGATTATCCCCGTCTTCTGTCCTCACATAACTTTTACATTGGACCTTTTAACTACGTTGATTCCTGCCAGGGTTTATTTTATTTCAAGTGTTCATCCAGCATGCACCTATTTATTTAATATAAATCTTGACCATTGTTGCACCCTGTAATTTACGTATCATTCCTGTTGCTTTGCCATCTGTATCCATTTTGTCTGTATTTAAAAATGATTTTCTCTTGTCACATCTGCAGTTTTCTTATGTTGTGCTGCTCTAGACTTTGACTGGAACTACTTCTGGTCGTGGAGTTGCTTCGTGGACTACGTGCAGTGCGTGCTGGCCTTCACCCTGGTGGCGGCCTACATCACCTACCTCCTGCTGGACTCGGCGCTGTTTGTGGAGACCCTGGGCTTCCTCGCTGTGTTCACAGAAGCAATGCTGGGCACGCCACAGATGTACCGCAACTATCAGAACAAGTCCACGGAGGGAATGAGGTACAGATTTAGTCCTAGAACAACCTGTAGAGATTTCACCTTTTTTAGTTTTCAGACTCGAGGGGACACAGTGGGCGGTGGTGGAGTTTGGGCATTGCACCATTGCATTAACAATGTTTTCACAACCTTTATTTTCTGTGAATGGTTCAGATTTTATTAGTTATGATTTGTGTTGAAGTTTATAGTAAATTTTTCATTGCAGGATTTGTATAAATGTCATTTTCTGAATGTAAGGGACAAACAGATTTTCAACTCTGGATAAAAAATGATTCTTTCCTCTCCCAGATGTTTTTTTTTTCTGGTGACATTCATATTTTTCTCACTCACCGCATCACTTTTTTTTCAGACTTGTACCGTCTCTGCAAATTCTCTCTGCCATGAGAAGCCGACATGTGAAAATAACTAACGGCTACAAAGCTGTCTCACTTTGAAAGACTTTTCTTAAATACAATAAAATATGTGAAGTTCAGCAAATATTTCACTGAAGTTTATCAACCAATCTGGTCTGGATGAGACTTCATTTGGATCTTCTTTGGGGATTCCAACCGTGGACCCTTTTTTTTCTTCTTCTTCTTTTGGCTGCTCTCTTCTTCAGGGGTCGTCACAGTGAAATAACTCGCACGAAGACCTGGCGATTGTTTTTACTCCAGATGTCCTTCGTAACACAACCACAGACCACTGAGCTACCACAGCCCTCTGTGTGGAGCAGAGAGCTGCCATAGGGTGCCCGGGGGAGCAGATGATTAGGGTTAAAGGCCTTGCTCAATGTGGGTCAGGTGAGGGTGGAGGCAGGTGTGAGTGCTTCACCTTTCCCACCCACATTTGGATGTTATCAGCCCGGGGAGTTGAACTGGCAACCTTCCGATCAGGCCCACCGCTAACCTCTGCTCCTCCGCTCCCCCTTAATCAACCTATAATCTCATTATTAAATGTTTCTGATTCTTTCTATAATTTTCAACATCAGTGTGAATGAAGACACTTGTGGGTCAATGTGTGGATTCACCGTGGGTTTAATGTTAAAATGCAAACGGTTGGTTTGTCATTCAGAGACTAAAGTAAAAACATGGGGACACAAAATGTCAAGGACTTTTACACTTTAGTCTTAGTTAATGAAAATTATTACTAAACACCAATAATTATATATGTTTATCAGCAGTCCAACATTTTTCAGTCAGGTCATCTGGACAGTTTCTTTTTTTTGTACTGAAATGTTTCGCCTTCGATCCAGAAGGCTTCATCAGTCAAGGAAACACACAACAAAACTGATTCTTCCTCCAACAGCTTACTCCAAAGTGGAACAAACCAGTTTTGCTTGTGATAAGATGGTCTCTTTGTTACGCCCCCTCCTCCATTGCCGGCCCTCTTCCTTGTTGACAGTCGTGTCAAACTGGTTGAAAACAACCAAGACTGTCAACAAGGAAGAGGGCCGGCAATGGAGGAGGGGGCGTGACAAAGAGACCATCTTAGCACCAACAAAACTGGTTTGTTCCACTTTGGAGTAAGCTGTTGGGGGAAGAATCAGTTTTGTTGTGTGTTTCCTTGACTGAAGAAGCCTTCTGGATTGAAGGCGAAACATTTTAGCACAAAAAAAGAAACTGTCCAGATGACCTGACTGAAAAATGTTGGATTGTATACCTGGATTATTGAGCATGGACTTTGTTGTTTATCAGCAGTGTTTGCTTCTTGATTGTCACTCGCGTCAAATCCAGACTTTTCTCTGTGATCCAAAAAATTACCATCAAGGACGGCTAATTGTCTGCAGCTCCATTCAGCCATGTGCAAATTCTATTAGCATCAAACTAATTAAAGCACAACGTAAAGTAGTTTAAACCCTGTCTGTAGTAAAAACAGACATAGCATAAGAAACAGCAGTTTAGTACAGGGTAGAGTATAACTTGTTTTTGTATTATGGTATGTTTAAAGCTTTTTTGTTGTGTTTTATAGTCCGTGTGCTGCAGTTGCCCTTTACTCGCTCATAGGCTGGACCTTAAAATCAGCATTTATTAGTACCTACAACTCTGAACTGTTCCAGTCACACACACAGAGCCAAGCAGATGTGGCTTCATTTGGCCTCTGACCAGAGGAATTCAACACTTTTTAAAATCAGTAACAGCAAAGGTGGATGAAACTTTCATCTTCTGTAGTTTTACCCACATTAAATGGCTGCAGAAAGAGCCAGACGGGGAATTGAATTAACCTTGGTAGAGCCGTTTAGTTTATTTACATAGCATCAAGTCACAGTTGTTGTCTCGAGGCACTGTCAAGAAAACGTTCACATTCATTAAAAATGTCTGGTATTTGTTTTCTGGTGTTTTTTCTGTGGGGAGAAACACAAAGAAAAACATGATGGATCTGCAACAAGCTCATTTATACATTTTTTAGCTGCTCCCAAGCTGTTTTGTTGATTCTGGTTTCTCAACCAGAAGCTCTCTACATCTGAAAAGATTTACTTTTTCACAAAACTTTACTTCAAAATGACTTGAATCTTCTTATTTCTTCTTCTTTCGGCTGCTCCCTTTTTTAGGGGTCCCCACAGCGAACTAGGTCGCACGAAGAATGGCTTGAATATTCCTTTAATATTAATGTAAAAAATCATTACACAAACAATATCACAAACTGTTTATCAATAACGATATTCTGTTGTTGTTTGTTACGAATAGTGATTAGTGTTGACAGTGGTGGGCACAGTTCTACTAATCTGCAAATTGCGGAACTTACTTTGCATTTAGATGATTAGCATTTTCACTAACTTTGATTATCTTCAGTGGAAATTAGGGGTTGAACGAGTATATAATTTTTAAACTCGACATTAACATAATAAAACCCGAGAAGAACTCGAGTATTTGATGACGTCATAGATCTCAAGATACAAAAATAAATAAATAAATAAAACCGCAAAAAAAGGTAATTATTTACAAACAACAAAAAAAAAAAGACCAACAAAACATTGGGAGCATATATTATGCTCCTACCATTTATCATACTGCAAATAAGTCACAGGCAAAACTAAACTATTAGTTATTATTATTAAACTGCTAACGTGAAGAAACGTGCAGCACGTCAAAAACTAAACTTAAACCGAAGCTGGTTCTGGTTCGGTGGATTGGACCCGGTGTTACACCATACTCTGTGACCTGCAACAGTGCAACACCGCCCCCTACGGTCATACGGTGGTCACATAATATGACGTCACTACGGATACTCAACGTAACATTTTTAATCTCGATAGATGTCCTAGCAATCGATGTGTAGATTACTCGAGTACTCTGTTAATGCCCTAGTGGAAATAACTTCAGATAAATTTAAATCTCATAAATTCAAGTCTGCCAATTTTTTTTAAGACACTTCTTCATGCTAAAAGTGTACATGAGATAGCGATGTGACAGATCGATGCTATGCGGAGCTTCCTCTGTTTTTTTAAACGCTATATGGAGTTAATCACTTCATCACCCTTACAGTGCTTTCCCCCTCATATCTACAGTAAACTGTCTCTGACTCATGGTGTCAGTTTACAACCAATAACAGACTTTAAATGAAACTAAACCAGAACAAGAAAATAATATGAAAACCTCATTTTCACACTCATAAACATCGTAAACAGTCAGAAACACTGTAAACAGTCAGAAACGTAAACAATCGGAATCATTGTAAACAGTCTGAATCATTGTAAACAGTCTGAATCATTGTGAACAGTCTGAATCATTGTGAACAGTCTGAATCATTGTAAACAGTCTGAATCATTGTAAACAGTCTGAATCATTGTAAACAGTCTGAATCATTGTAAACAGTCTGAATCATTGTGAACAGTCTGAATCATTGTAAACAGTCTGAATCATTGTGAACAGTCGGAATCATTGCAAACAGTCGGAATCATTGCAAACAGTCGGAATCATTGCAAACAGTCGGAATCATTGCAAACAGTCGGAATCATTGCACACATAATTCCTACCTAGCATGCTTTGCAATGCTTACTCTCTCTGGGATGTGACGCTCACACATTTCCCACAGCTATATAAACAGATTTATTACAGAGAGAATATTGATGATGACACACAGCAACTTTGTAGTTAGTTTATAAAACCACAACGAGGATCGTTTGAGTGAGTTAATTCATTAACATGAATGACACGAGGGAGACGTTCGCCACACATTGAATGCATCACTCTGCTTCAGGACAGCAGAGTTCTGCTCTCTCTGTGGTTCTGATGGACCGGATTAATTTCTGAAAGTTCACCTCTGAACAGGACACAGACACTTTACCTGTGATTTATGAACCATTTTGAGTTGTGTTCACTTACAACCTTGTCACATTACAGACAGTCTTACAGTGTCAGAGACAGCAGATGATAAAAGTTAGCACTTTAGTGTTAGCTTCTGATATGTATATATAATTTTTTTATCTGTTTAACAGTTTAGCGTTAGCAAAGCTTTTTTTTTTTTTAAGTTAGCAAATTAGCGGCTAATGAAGCTAACCTTTTGGTTAGCTGTGCTGGTTGTTGAGATGTTTAATTTTTGACAAACACTTGATCAGAGTTTATTGACTGGAAACACACATGTTGGTCCAATGAGGAACAAACAACAAAAACTCATAAAATTGTTTTATTTAAAAACTGTTAAAGTTAACTTTTATCACAAGGGTTTGTTTGTCACTGTGCCTTTTTTCACATAGACTTAAAGCAAATCTTAAACAATTAATTCAATTGGGGTATGTCAAATTGTTCTGCTTTTTTGTTCTTGTTTGAAAGATTTACTGCAGTTACGAAGAGAGCAACCAAAATAACAACATTAACAACAATTTATAGCATTGCATTCACTATTTGAACTTTCTACATTGCCTTGCACACTTTGAGCAGTTGCAGAAATTAATTCAATTCAGTTCATTTCTATAGCACCAAGTCCCAACAGATGTCATCTCAGGGCACTGAACAGAAACATTCACATTATAAAAGCCAGTTAATAAAAGTTGTCTGTCTAAAGGAGCAGCAGATTGTTTTGAATCT